TTTGCGTATGCCTATTAGAACGGTGACGTTTTGGAGTCAAATGATCGTTTTTAATTCACGAATGTCTTTGGTCCATCTGGTAAACATGGAAATCTTTTTGTTTTTTTCTAAAAATGATGTTGATGCGTATTTACATCTCACTTTTATCGATCACTGAGCACATACAGTTTACTTTAACTACGTTAGTTTAAATCTCAGAAATAAGCGCTTTTTATATCTTGAAATTACGATATTATCTTCGTTGAAGCCTCTTTTCCCATTGACCGTCTCAAACTTTCACGAATCTTGATTGGTATTTATAAGATTTAGATATGAATACATAGGAATCATTATAGTTATTTAAAATGCAGAATTAAATAATAAAAACGATATTAAAATGATATTAATAAAAGTTTCATTAAAGTGCAGGAGATATGAGATGTACTTGTAAACTTAAATTTTTAATATACTTAATAACACAATAAAATAATAATAAATTATAAGTCTAAGGCTTTTTTTTAACATAATTAATATAATACAATAAAAATAATATGACAAATTATACGTGAAAATAGGAAATTTTGAACAGAAACAATATCATGGATTTTCATGCGATGTGCCAATAGAATCACCTATGACTCAACGTACTTAAACTGCAATAAATAAATTTATTATTCTAAAGAATATATATTACTTCGAAAATGATTATTTTATATCATTATTTTATAATTATTATATAATTATTATATAAGTTTAAATAAATTAGGAAAATTGGATAAAGAGACGGTGAAATCTCAACAAGATTTGGAGATTAATATCTTGAACGGATCGCTGAGTGAGATTGTAAGGCGAATTACGGGCGGGAGGACCGAGGTGCGGCTGTGTCAGCCGTGAATTCTCGTTCTCGCAATTCCGACGAGAATCACGAGGGGACGAGGTGATTGTATGGCACTTTTCCACCTATACAAGCGATAAAAGTGCGCACCCGTTATGGTTCGTGACGGGACGCCTGTCGTGACTGTCGTGCTTACGCAACTCCGAGCTCCAGACTCGATTTAAGCGCCGGAATGTCCATCGCGACATCCCAGAGACGTCAGCTTCCATTCATGCGTCTCTCCGTCCGTCATCCACAGACCAAACCGCCACCCCACATTGTCCGCGTCGATTCTCGACGATCCCCGTCGGATTCGACGGAGATGAATCGCGTGTTTCGTGTCAAAAATCGTGACGAGTCTCTCTTAATCTTTTTTACCGCGATAACAACATAAAGAAATCTATACAATAAGATCTAATAGTTTTAAGTCCAAAAATACGAAAATATGATAAAATAAAACAATAATTTTTACTTTTTATTACAATCACTCTTTATTTCAATAAATGTTTTAGTTAGGATGATGAATTAATTTTTTTGCTAATAAAATATTCTGAATGTTTGTCTTTATAATGATTGAACACTGCAGAAATTACTCCTTTATCACCGATAAATTTTTTTTTATGTGTTAGACTTTAATTTAAAAAATATTTTTTATTTTTAAGTAAAACATTTTAAAGATAAAATTTCAGAACATTTGTTTAGTGATAGAAAAATTAATTTATTTTAAATAATTTATTGAAATATAAAGGTTAATTATATACAGAAAAGTAAAAATGATTATTTTATATCATGACATTTGTATTTAATTTTTATTCAAAATGATTTAACTGCAGAAATTTTTTTATAATTACTAAATTTTTTTATAATATAATAAAATATGATGTAATATGTATAGAAAAGAGCGAATTGAAGGAAAAACGTGTCTGTCACAGTTGTCAGTAAAAAGGGGAATTTTTATAAATTTTTATAAATTCTCATATATATACTATTAAACAGCCACGTTTTAGATCTGTTGGTAAAGTTGCGAGTTGATTTCAACTTACATACTAGTGACTCCATCTGTTGATTGCAGATGGAAATTGTAAATGTTATACTTTGATAAATTAGTGCACATTATTTATAGTCAACGATAATAGAAATAGCAATTGCGTCATGTTAATTATCTCGCTCTATTAATATCGAGTCATATCGGTAATGATTTGAAGAAAACATTTTTGCCGCGCAATCTTTGATTTGAATTTATGACGAACAAAACCATGACATAAATTACAATCCTCTTTTGTTTAATACAAATTTATAAAAAGTGAAATTTATATAAAATTCTCGTTTTAAAGCTATTTAATAATTAATTAATTTTTCTCAAAGTTATTTTATTGGTTTTTCAGTTTGATATTTTTAAAGTAACTGTAAAGTAACGAAATATTGCATTTAATTTCTTCAATTCTCGTCTCCATATTTTGTTATTTTATTTTAAGTATTAATTTGGTATATTACGAATATTTTAAGACTTTTTGCGGCGTCGAAGTTACGTCGGCCGCGCGGGCCATTCACTTTCGTTCGCCGGGGTGGTTGTACCCCGGATTGCATCAACAAACACCGATCGGCCGTTAGACCGCAAGGGGTTGAAATCCTTGACAATGCGCAGCCGCGCTGACCGCTGTCCACTTCTCTTTTCCTTACGATTCCCCGGATTATTCCCCTGCCTGCTTATACCCGTGTAGAGCCCAGGTGTACCACGAATACTGCTCTACTGTAAAAGTGAGGCGACGCGAGTGTCAATCGCAATCAGGCAATAAGGACTTCTTCCAGCATTTCGCGATCAACCGGCAAAATAAGGGGCTCCAGGGTGGCGAACGGTGATCCAAGTGAGTATATCGTCTCCGCGAGCGCGACCTTCCGGACTCTTCAGGAGGGTCCATGTATCCGTACTCTTAGATTTCCCAAATCTGCGTTACGTGCCGTCACATTTTACAATTATAGTCTCTAGAAGGGATAGGATCATTCCTCGCGGCGAAGAAACGGAAATGATGTCTGTGGAAGCAGGACAAGAAGAAAAATTAAAAGACCTGGATGCCTCGATTCGTAATGTTTCTTTTTTCCGTTGTAATACCGAGACTGCTATGATTAAGAATGAGGAGTAAGTGAGTCGGAATAGAATCGCGGAAATAATTGATGACGCGAAGCAGGTAATTCGATCGGCCGAGCTCCACTTTGTGTCTTTGTTGGACACATCGTGGCGCGTCACGTGTAATAGTGGCATTTATTATTAACTAGTTGAGAATTGCGTGGGTTTCGCCTCGACCAAGTTTTGCGTTAACTAAAACCTGGCAAAGGTCCCGCGACGAGAAAGAATCGGAAACAATCCGGAAACTCTGTTTTCTCGGTAGACGAAACTTTTCGCGAGTCGATAATCGTGCGAAACGTAAAGCACAGACCGTTGTTTATGACCGGGGGATAGAAAAGGGGAGTAGGTGATAGATACGATCTGCGACTTTTCTAAAGGAAGTAGGGCAAAGTCGTAGTGTCGTGTAATTTCTCGTCTACATCGGTTTTCTGTCTAGACCTTCGCTTTTATACTCTGTAGTCCGCGTGAATTTTTGCAAGTCCTCCGGATAATCATTTTTTTCCCCTTCTGTCGCTGTGATAAAATACGTGATTTTTTCTTTCCTCGAAGAAATTGGAAAAGACATAAAGCAATTTGCTCTCATCCTTCTTGTCATGATTTTCTTCTATAAAAGGTTAAGGGTGTATAGTATCTGTAAAAAGTAACTGGAGTTGGAATTTATACTTTGGAAACTTAAAATAGTTTACTACCTTTCTTGTCATAATTTTGTTCTATAAAAGATTAGACATGTATCAGATGTGTCGTTTCTATAAAATGTGACTTGAAAATTTACACTAAAAATGAATGTTATATACATTATTATAAGATATTTATATTCAATATTTATATCCAATATATTCTGTTTTATTCAATAAGATCAATTTGTGTTTAAAATTATTTGTATTTAACAATACAATTTTATAGATTAAATTAAAAAATTGTAATATTTTAATTATTTTTTAGAATCATGTTCATTTCTTATTGAAATAATTTCTGATTTAGGTCCTAAATTATTGCAAGCAAATTTTTTAAAATTATTTTTAAATACAATAGATATAAAAAAAGTTTGTGATTTTTTCAAAATTTTTTTACTTCTTTAAAAAATACTTGTTATATATTCTTACAAAACACGTTTGCATTGTTCAGATAAAAAAAACACGAAACCTTTCCTAATTTATTTAATTTTTATGAAGAGTTACTTTTTTAATAATAAATAAAAACTAATTAGAAGCAATAAAGTAATAATAATAGTAAATAACATACATTTAATAACTAATTTGACTTTCTTATTCGCCTGTTTATTTTGGTCTCTTGACCTACTTAACTTTATTTTTACATTTTTTAATTTAAAAAGCTTATATAAGCAATAAATGTACATTTATAAAATTTCTATGTTCTAAGAAGAATTCGTTTTTGAGAAGAAAAACATAACGTCGGAAATTGATCGAAAATATCACCGGAACGGCACCGACACACCTATTGTTCCCGCGGAGGACGACGTCGCGACGCCACGTGCGGACGTGTATATAAAAAAAAATCGCGACCTCGCCATACAGTCTCGCTATAGAATCCGCCTGAGTGCAACAATTGAAGTTAAGACGCGAGTGGAATTGAAAGTTGTAGTCCCGTTGCGTTTCAAATCGATTACAGAAGAGTACGCTATATGTAAATACGCTCCTCCCCAGGTTCACCCCTGCATTTGGTCGCGAGATCGGCTGAGGCGCGTCGCGATCGCGCACCCTTGATCGCAATCCTTTGTCCTTCTCCTTTTCTCTCGATTGGGGGCGGGCAATTCCGCTCGCTCGTCGCAGCCAGTGTAGCGCGCGAATTTATTATTTAACGGGAATAATCGATGGCTTATGGATACGTGTACCCGGGGTACGTATCCCTCGCGATAGTCGTCATTTTCGCGATGGTGACGCGGCGCGTGGCAGGAAAAGCCGCTCCTCGTCCTCGTCTGCCGCCGCGAATCGGCGGCGCGTGAAAGTCTCCCGGATTGGGATAATAAAGAAGCGCGTGACGGGCGACTCACCGCGGGTAACCATGCTAGCGAGATTCCGTAACAGTTTCCGTTGCGGCATGCCGAAATGCCCGAGTATTCGTATTCCAGGGATGGAGAAGCCGGAGTCATCCGCGGCGGGCGAGAGCGCCGGAGACTCCGGGGAGCTCGAGGACCGGGACCCCAACAGCTTGAATCAGCATCTTCAGGTAAGATGCATCCGCCTGCAGCCGCGTCTCTCCACGATCGATGTATCGTATTTGACTCGTACTTGTCTTCGCAACATTTTCCACATCACTGAATAATTGATGATTGATGCGTTTTTTTTATCACCGAAGATGAATGGCATGTGTTTTTGAAGTCACTTTTGTTCCTCAATCGTATGATGATGCCCCTTTTTCATCCTTCAATCCTATATATAGCACGCACCAACCTACACGGAAAAAATTGTTGTTAAAGTATCTATAAATTTTGCTAAATACAGGAAATAATTTTGCTGAACTATTAAAATAATTATGTAGGGCGCTCGCAATATACATAATAACAAGTAATGCTACAAAAAGAGTTGTTAGATATTCTAGCAACTAGCTTGAGCGTTTTGCAATAATATTTTAATCTAACAAAATTATTTTTAGTTCCTATGGCTAAATTTTTAGTTACTTTAGTATAACTTTCCTTTTTGTTTACGTATCGCAAATTCAAACACTACACAGCATACTTTAACCGAAGAGAGACGGTCTGGAAACGTTCAGGGAACATATGGATGTTCTTAGGATGTTTCTTAAAGGTTTATGCTTCAAGAATGTTTAGGAAAAAATATTTGTGATTGTAATGGTAGAATTGAATTATAAATATAATTGTTATTAATAACGATATAAGAGTGATAACTATAAAAATGCTCTTGTTATTATTTCATATTGCAGAATAGTCATAAAGCATTTTCCTCTCAGTGCATTACGACCCGCAATCTTTATCTTTGTTACATAATCATTGGAGGGAGTGACTAACTGCTTTCAAATTTTCTTTTATTTTTAATTTCTAGTTTTTCGAGTTGTTAAATTTCTCTTCCATTGAACTAAGCTAAAAGCTATAATGCACATATCCGCGAAATTAATTGAAGGTCAACGTAGACTCATGGAACTTTAAGCTGACTAATGCGGCCATTGCTCATACTTTGACAAAGTTTCACTTTGATTAAAATGACCGCGCTCATTCATGGGAAAATCACTCGCGCGCGCGCACGCACCATGTCGAATTTAATTGTATAATTAAAGCGTGATCAATGTTATCGATAAGTTTTACGCGAGCGTGAATGCATCGTTACGCAGGTGATGTGGGATGACGTGATTGGCGAGCCGGAAGGGATCCGGAGTCCCGAATGCGCTTGGCGGCTCAGCGGCCACTGTTTTCGGCTCTCCAGAGGATGCTGTTACGTGCTCCTCTCCGTTCTCATAGCACCTCTGCTCGCCCTGCTGTTGGGCTTCACGTTCGCCTGCCTCGCGTTTCAGGTGAGTCGATAACCCACCCCTTTGCGTGCGTCCGTTCCTTTTGATTTCCACCGCAATCGATCTCGCGTGTATCATTGCACATCGCGAACGGAATATGCATTGTCACAGGATTGTCCAAGAAAAAAATTACATCAATGATTCAAACATATCAATCATTTTTAATGTGAATAATGTTACTTAATAATTTTAATATTAATATATTTATTTTTTACATGAACGATTTATCGTAGAAATTTAATTTATTGCGTATTTATACAAAGTGCAAAATATTTTTAACAAGGAAAGGGATTTCCCTTAAAAAGAATTAAACAGTTTTGAGATTTAATTTCAATTTTATTAAAATCTATTTAAGAACAATTAAACAGAGAGAGGAAGTTATTAGGACAATTTCTTAATTTTTTTTTCTCAAAATGTGAAATAGTTGGGGATGAATTTCAATCTTTCTTCAAGTTTTTTCGAGAAAGATTCGAAGCGAACGAAATGTTTCATATTCTTTTGAATTTTGATGATTAATGGTTTGTCTTCTTCAACTCGTACATTCTTCATTGTTGTTCCTTGCAGCATATATGGTGTCTCGCACCGTGTCTGCGCGTGTGGAAGATCACATGCGCGGCGATGCGAAATTTCTTAGCGGCGGTGACGCAGGCGATCGTACGGCCGATTATGGAAGGGTTGGGTTACCTCTGCTACAATATCCGCGTATTTAATCAGAGATTACCGGATGGCCCTCTCCAGAAGGATGATCTGTTGATCGTGTAATCCGGCGATCTCAGCGGTGACATCGAAGGGTCTACTTTTTGCTTGTGATAGCAGCTTTCCGTTATCGCGGTTTCCGCATCTGTATGAGCTATAAACACGCCGCGATGTGATCGCGCGAACCGTGCATGTCGGTAGTGCTACAGCGATTTAGAGTTAAGCGGCGAGAGAGGTGTCTATTATAATTATGAACAAAACGCACGAGCGAAACGTACTATAATTGAATCGATCATTTCAGAAACCTCATAAAACATTTTTTATTGAAAAAATTGACTAAATTTTAATTCTTCTTTGATAATATGTATAGTGAACTAACTAAATATTTATTAAATATAAACATATATTTATTTGATACAAAAACTATTAATTTAATTTAAGTATCATTTTTTATTAAGTAAATATTTATTTACTGTAAGTAAATTTTTAGTTAATGCTATTCAAACAAATATTTATTAAAATTTAGTACATTTTTTCAGGATGGGATTCAGAATTTTTTGGAAGAAATATCATAGATACACAATTTTCTTCAATAACTTATACACACATTAAACATTTCTTTCCTAGACACCACCAAGTCTACAAAACTGTTATTCATAGAAAAAGCAGCAATTTACAGTAACTTATGTTTTCCTTACATTGTGCTCTGTAAAAGACGATCAATTTGAATCAATAATGAATCACTTTACAATACTAGAATTCACTGTTATGTGTTTGTTATTTTTTCATAAATTGTGTATATTTATCAACAATGAAGTTAAATATTTTTTAAATTGCAATCTTATTTTACAACATTTTTAAAAGTTTGTTATTATATTTACAACATTTTCTAATTGAAAAACTCTATGTTATAAGTGAACGAAAACTGTGATGTATAACAATATAATTACGAAATATGTATATTTATGTCAGAAATATGGCATAAGTCAACATCTTCGAAATTATTTTTTTGGAAATAAGTTTTAAAATTGATATACATATATTCCATTCATTTAATGAAATAGTAAGACATATTTTACATATTTTTAATTATTTTTAGTATTATAATTATAAAAACTATGGAACATTTTTAGTACTCCAAAAATTAGATTCTTTTATTTATGTCTTAGGGTTTCTAAAATGGCCAATTCAGTTTTTGTATATACTCTAGTAATACAAAGTCTAAAATTGGGACATAAAATAATTATACGATCGATTTTGGACTGATAAGAATAAATTAAGTAAGAGAGCCTACATTTGATTAAAGCGGATCTTAAATATCTCGGTATAAATTTATATATGAAACATTAGACACCTTTAACAGTTTTAGACACCTCTTGAAAAATTCTTTAAAACATCTTTCAATTTAATGTCCTAATTTGGGACTTTGTATTTCTGCGTAATATTTTAATAAAAGCGTGCGAAAACGCTGACCGGTCTAAGATGTGCGAGGATAGACTGCGACATCGCACTTAATACATAATCAGGATGGTATATTTTTACAGTTCGTAGTCATAATTTGCGCGTCAAAGAATTTTTTCCGTTAAACTATCTGCAATATAGCGTGCAACGGCTTAACCACTGTTAAGTGTACTAGTAAGTGTAAAGGTCTCTGCTGGCCTTGTAGGAGTATAATAATTTTAACTCATGCGCATGTCTCGGAGTCGACGCAGAATCGGGAATTAAGGAGCTCGAGTAGCTAGACTAGTCAATATTTTACGCAGGCCGTCTTTTTTGTCGTTCATTCTTGTCATCCGCTGTTGAATTCAAGACGAGAAGTCCCACTGCTTCATTAGACAGGAAAGAATTGTGAGAAGTGATTTGAATATATATGCTGTCGAGTTGGATAGAGAAACGGAAATCCCTTTAGTAAAATATTGATTTAAAATTCTAATCTAATTGGGAATGTAAATTATTAAATGAAAAAGAATGCGAGGAGGAAAAATTATAATAATTATAATTATATATATAAATAATAATTATTAAGAGAGAGATATATATAAATATACAAGAGAAATATATGTTTATTATATCGAAAGCAAAGAACGTTAGACAAAAATCTGTCCACTTTTCTGTATAATCGTACGATTAATATTAACGTAATTAATGTTTCTCGATAAAGCGATAAGGTAACACAGTACTGTCGTACTTTCTATACTTAATGTTTATAGTGTAAAGTCATCGTTACCATTCTATCATATTTTCCTTTTATATGCTCAAGCATTGTAGACGATTTTCGGAATATTTTCCGAAAGTTAGAAGCTGTATATACGAACTTTCTGTATAAGAGAACTTTTTGCAAATAAAATGTAGAACTTACACGAAAAAAATACTTCTACGATTTTGCATTGCAGCGACACGAGTTGGGAGTCCTTATAAGGCTGCGGTTCAATTCACGCTCACAACACTTGTGTCATTTGTCCTTATTTAACATTTAATAATTCATTATAATATATTCATTTTTATATTATATTTTTCATAATACTCAGTGTGGTAAGTGCTTAACAAAGTATATAATGGCACCTTCCCCCCTCCAATTAAACTTTTAAGAGCGAGGGTGTGCTGTATTTGTAATGTTTACTCTTTAAAATTAAGTTTATGATAAATTTGGAATAAATTTGGAATCTGCAGATTTTTTTAGTTACAGCTAATGAAAATGTAAATGTATGTATAGTAGAGAATGTTGAATATAATTTAAAAAAGATTATGCACCGGTACATGTATATTGATGTATATATAATAAAAAATATTTTATTGATCTTACTTAAAAATATCTTGTAAGTGAAAAATCTGTTGATGTACATACATACACACACACACATATATATATATATATCAATAGATTCGAGATATTTTTAAGTAAGATCAATAAGAAAAGTCTTTTTAGTAACAACACAACGTCATGTTCAGAGTATTAAAGCCATTCCCTATTTTTTTTAACTGATATTTTCTAAATTCATTAATTTTTTTTTTGCGTATCTATATGTATACAAAGTTTTATTAAAATTAGGATTTAACATTTTGCGAAGGTTCCTATGTGAGAGAGACGATCATTCGAACTTGCCTCCGAATTGCTGTCGAGCCAATCATATTGCTGTGTAAAGTTTCACGTTGCCTTCGACATCAGCCGAGACATCAGCTGACTAGTCGTCAGCTGCTACTTGGTCGAAGCATGTTTACTGAAAGTCATTGAATAAATATTTATATTAAAACACTTGCTAGAAGTGTCAATCGCTCGGTATGGACGCGCCTTAAGGCACGGTCGATAAGAGGTTTTTTAACAAGATTAATAAAGTCAGTGTTTCGTCGCTATTATCAGTCGTTAGTCAACATGGCGAGCCACATGCAGAGACTGTTGTTGAGAGCCGGCCGCTTGTGCCGCGTAAATTCTACGAGACGTATCCTTTGGAAATCTGTTGGGAAGTTTACCAACTTTAGGATTCTTAGGACTCTTTGTTAGATCATGTGATTGTATATCAGAATTCGTCATATTCGTCCTTAAATCTTGAGCAGAGATTTTCGCCTCCGCCACGCTCCGAGGGAGACGTAAGTCAATTTAATTTTAGATCATTTCTCTAAGCGTGTAAACACCAAACAAATAAAAAACATATCCTTTTAATCACGACATGTTCGTACTGGATGGCGATCTACAGTTTTGATGTAAAATGTAGATAGATGGTAGCACAATGCAGAGGTGCGACTCAATCGGTAGTTCATTCTGCTGACATTACGATTTTGCTATCTCATCTTTACTGATAACTGATAAAAGATGTTTAGGCTTCCATCGTTATATGTCACTGTAATGTTATATAAGAAAAGCATGGGCTATTTGAGCCAAGTTAGTTGTTATTTATTATTGTTTTAGATTAAAGTCATAGCATAAAATAATTTCAAACAATTCTAAATGTTTTGATATTTAATATTGATCCTCTTCAATGAATTGTTTACAATCATACAAACTGAACATTATAATTAAAATATTACTTTACAGCTATTACAATTACTTCATATCTGTATCCTCCAATGCTTACAATCAGAAATCCATAATTAAGTTCCTTGTCATTTAAATTAGGAGTGTGATTCAGTCTTGAGGATTTCGTAAGAGATGAAAATATTTTGATTAATTTTGATTATATTCAGTCATTATCTTGTTTAAATAAATTAGTTTTTGAAAAAAAATCCTTAAAACTAATTTACACACCTAAGAGATATTTATTAATGTTTAGAATAGATAGACTATTCTTCGTATCTTATAATATTACATAACGTTTATATTAAATGTTATAAGAAAAAAAATTTATTAAAAAATATTCAAACTCCTGGTGAAAAAGTCTCATATATTTCATAATGTTTTGAAAATTTCTAATTTAAATTTCATATTTTCTTAATTCTTTGAAGATGGCAGTTTTCTAATAAACACAAACTTGAAGGAAATCTTGTTTTCTAATAGTGAATTCGATTGGACGCATTCAGTGTATACATCAAAACTGTCGAATATAAATTGATGTATCAAAAGATGTGTTTAATATAAATATAGAAATTAGATAGACCGTAAAATCTTCAATATATTTTAATATGCTGTTAAATAAATTTGTATTTTACATATCGATTTATTCGAAATATTGGTATTTCACTTTTATAAAACTCGAATTAAATCAGTGTGCAAAAAATTTAGTATAGTTTTCGTCAAGGTCATCTCAAAAATTAATTTAAACCATGTATAATTTTGATCGATTTTTTATTGAAAATTTGTATTTATGACTCAGCTGCCTTCAATTGGGAGGATCCGTTTGATCTAGAGTCGCAACTGACACAGGACGAAATTCTGATGAGGGATCAGTTTCGTTCCTACTGTCAGGAGCAACTCCTGCCGAACGTGATCGAGGCAAATCGAAAGGAGCACTTCGATCGGGAGATCGTAAAGCAAATGGGACAACTCGGGGTGTTGGGCTGCACTATGAAGGGCTATGGCGGTGCGGGAGTATCCTCAGTAGCTTATGGGCTCCTTGCTAAGGAAATTGAGAAAG